TTTTGCACCAAGATAGCATATTATATATATACTGACAAAAAAGATAGCATATTAACTTTGGAAATCTTTTTTCCAATCAAAAAAGCAATAACTGAGAAAAAGCAAAGTGTATGAGAAGTGATTAGGAGATCAAGTCACTAATAACATAATCTTTTAAGATGTTAAAGTTAATAAAAGATAGAGATAGATTAAAGTTGATAAATTTAACTCATTTCACAAGCCACAAAAATCTACTTCCTTTTTTTTTTTTTTTTTTTTTTTTTTTTTTTTTTTGTTTAACTTTGTTGGTGATAATGAACCACAATCGATTTAATATCCGAAAAATAATATTTATATCTATACACACGAAATATATATAAAATATTATTAGATATATATCCGAAATATATATATACACACAAATATATATAAAACGGACCCAACGGTTATATATACATGTATATCTACGAAAAAGATATACCAATATATATCAACCAAAAAGAAAATATAATCCTTAGATTATAATTCCAAAACAACAAGAAAGAATGGATTTTTGCTTAGAGCATAATCCAAAACAAGAAAGAAGGAGAAGGAAGAAAGATTCGTACGAGTTAGGCAAAGTGTCTGTCTTTCCTTAAAACCTTATTTGCCACCTCCCAAAAGTGCTAGGAGCGTTGTGGCCTAGGTTTCCCAGGATAAAACGTACAACGGTTCGACGTTTGAGCACCCAAACGAACGAACCCGGCGAACTAGAGCATGGGACGAACACAGCTACAAGAAGGGAGTAGGAGCAGAGATTTTGGAGCTGGGAAAACAGAATTTCAGTGTTGTGTGTGTTGTTTTTCAGTCTGTGTCGAAACACTGCTGCTACACCCCTTCTTATATAGGAGGTGAGGAATCAATAGCATTTAGTTTAGCATTTAATCCACGATTTGTAACACCTGAAACAGCCACCATTATTGAGATTTAACTCAAAAATTCAAAAGGTGGAATTAATACAAGATTAATCCTGTAACAGTCCAAAACCAACGAATGGTCCGCGCTGTTTCAGCTCAGTTACTTTCGGGATGCACGAAAGTTCGTGCTTCAGTGCACACGAGACTGAACTCTCGTTTGTGCTCACAACACGAGAGTCAAACTCTCGTGTGACCTCATGACAGCGCACGAGAGATCACTTGATCTCGGGTGATCTCTCGTGGTGTGGCCATATAGTGTTGGACACTTGATCTCGGGTGATCTCTCGTGGTGTGGGCATATAGTGTTGGACACTTGATCTCGGGTGATCTCTCGTGGTGTGGCCATATAGTGTTGGACACTTGATCTCGGGTGATCTCTCGTGGTGTGGCCATATAGTGTTGGACACTTGATCTCGGGTGATCTCTCGTGCTGTGGCCATATAGTGTTGGAAAACTGTACAGAAGCCCGCAAGGCCAGCCAATTTCCGGACGACATTCGTGCCCCCAGTTGGAATTTGATTTGCCAGCCCGCAAGGCCAGCCAATTTCCGGACGACATTCGTGCCCCCAGTTGGAATTTGATTTGCACCCCCCCCCCCTCCCCCCGCGCGAGAGAGCCTCTATGCTATACAATTCTACAAGCTCCAAAAGAGCTCTTGTATAAAAGGGGGGGGGGGGGGGGGGGGGGTGAAATCCTCTTTCCAAATCAATGTGGGACAATGCTCACTTTTCCCTTACATTTTTCCAACTCAATGGGTCTACTTTGAGAATCAATATCTCATTCACCCATTATCCGTTTTGAGCGTACAATATATCAATCTCTTCGTCTCACTACGAAGAACCCGAATCCACTTTGACCCGATCCAAATCGGAAGTGGACCCCACTGATAATTGTACCACAAAATAGCCACTTAACATGTCATTTTATGCCATTTTAATGCTATTTTTCCAACAAACTTTAGACGACTTATTAAATTTAGAAGCTCTGTAAAAATATATAATCACATTTTTTGTCGCTCAATTGTCGAGAAAGTATAGAACAGATACTAAATTGTAATAGAGTCAATAGTATTCAAAAAAGTTAAATTCTGCTCATTTTAAAGTTTTGCCTTTAAAAAAAAAAAAAAGAATTTCACACGCAACGACTCTCAATTTTCTTCTATAGTCCTACCCATATATCTCATTAATATCAAGGGCCGATGGACCAAATTGACAATGTTTGGAACAATTGAAAAATTAAACTTTTAAAAATTGACGAGTTACTAAATTGCATATAGGGTAACAATTGAAAAATTAAAAGTGTGATTTTTCACAGAGAGAGAGAAAGAGATTGGGCAGCATAATTTAGAATAATGTTTCCACCATGAATTGAAACATTTCATACTTTATTGAGATGAGGAATTGGAGTAGAGTTATGTAATCTTATTTTCCCAGAAAAGCAGGAGTGAAAGGAGGGAGTTGAAGGAAAGAGGGTCCTCCACCATGAATGTATGACCTCCCAATGAATGCTAAAAGAAATTCCAATAAATTATATGAATGCAGAATGTGCACAGCCCTTTTTGATACATAGAAGCTGTTAACTTTTTATCACCCTTTAGTGGGTGATTTTTTTAAACATTTCCTTACATGATAGTACTCTTGTGTCTATGCACCTTTGGAAAAGGCCCTACTCTTTCTATCCTTAGCTTGTACATAAACGAACTTAATTATATGGTTTTCGAGATATATAATTATATATACACACATGTGTGTGTATATTGTCATATATATTTTTTATTAGTACTATTAAAATATTGTGTAAACTTCTACACTATAGTATATCTTGTTTCTTAAATATATTAACTAGTGCTTTACACGTGTGATGCACGGAAGAAATTGTGTTATTATAAATTTTAAAAAATAAAAAATATCAAAATGTACAATATAATAATATAATTAGACTTCTCATATATTTGATAAAGTATGTATTTTCATAGCATAAAAAATTAAAATTAATTTTTTTTATGATTAATATAGTCCCTAATCATGACAAAATTTATAAACGAAATTTACATGCATAATATATTGATTCATTCCTAATTGTTTTTCATATATATTATAAGACAATGCTAGAATGCCCTTACATCTACGCTTCACAAAATAGTCATTCCCTTATTTGACAAGTCCTAATAGGTTGACATTTGAAATAAAAAAAAAAAAAAAACAAAGGAAAAAAAAAAATATTAGAACTTGCAACACCATGGAATATAATGACTTAGTTGTGCATGGTAGATGTAGGGGAAATTAGCATTTTCCTATATTATAATTCCAACCATATGAATAATAATTAAGGGACTTATATTTAGAAATCAAAAGATGTAATTTTAAATTTTGTATGGTTAGATTTAGACTATAATCGAACGTAATTACTTATATGATTATATGATTGTATACTTTCGCATATAATATTTATTAATATGTATTTAGGTAAATTTTAAAATATAATTTCCATAATTATAATTTATATTGGTAGATTTATAATTAAGATAATTACATTTAGAGTTAATTTCATTTTTGGTCATAGATTTATAAGTGGCAGGTCACATTTAGTCCTTTTTTATTGTGACATGACCAATTTTGGTCATCTATCAAGAAAATCGTTGAAATTTCATTAAATACAAGGACATTTCGCTCTTCAATTATGATTTTTTTTTTCAAAAATAAACATAAAAAATATAACGAGTCAACGCACTTTGTATTAAAAAGATCAAAATATCCTTCTATTTAACAAAATTTCAACGATTTTGTTGATAGAGGACTAAAATTGGTCATGTCACAATAATACTAGGACCAAAATAGGATGTTTTGATAAAAAAAAAAAAAAAGGACTAAAAGTGAACTACCACCTATAAATCTAGGACCAAAAATGGAATTAACTCTTACATTTAGAAATTAAAAAATTAGGTAGTCTCTAATTATTATATGTACGTATTTAGCCACTAGTTTTTCACGCTCATTGCGCGAATGAAATAATGCCCAATGATTATTTTAAAATAAGTAATTCAAAGTATATCAATGCAAGATTATATAGGAGATGTTCATGCATAGGTAATTGAATGTTGAATTTGTTTATTTAAATCAGTAAATCAAAGTATATGAATGCATGATAATATAGGAGATGCTGATTATAATTGTCACTAAATAAATGTTTGCAACTTTGTAATAACGCTAGTCTAAAACCGATAGTCTAAATAAATACTACCTTTGGTTTGAATTTCTCTTAAGTCTTCTTAATTCTCTTTTGGGTAGCTTTGTCATTGTCTTCATCTTCAGTACGTTTCCTCCTCTTTTTAATTGGTAGTGTGTCATGTGCAATTGTGTTACTAGAGATAGCATAGAGTGCAGCGTCATGCAATGAGATTATGATGTAGGAAGTTTTAAATTTGCCTAGCTTGCTGTGTATATGACTGGATTTTAGTTTTACTATGAACTCTTTATCTTAGCCGTGGTACTTCTCTCCCCAACATGTTTCATGTGTTATAAGATGTGTGTCATAGATTCTCATGTAAAAGTATTGAACAAAATATTAATATTTATTATATTTTTAGAAGATTCATGATGAGTAGTACCTCTAGTTCATAACTTGTTTACTTGATAATAATAACAAAAATGACTCTGCTGGTAGCCCGAATATTAAGTGTTTTTGTTGTTAATTTTGATGCTTATTTTGCTTTGTAATCCAAAAAGTTTGAGTCTAGAAAATGAAATGAATTGTAAATTTATATTAGTTCTCATATATTTAAAGGATACACAATAAGTATATTACATACAAGATCAATGAATGTTGCAACGGTGGCTATTTTTGAAATTTCTTCATTTTCTGGATTTGCAAGATTAATTGGAGCATTGTTGAAGTCTCGACATCTTTTCGATGTGTCAAGTGTGTCACGATGTTCTATTGCCCCCGTTGGCATTTTTAATAATGAGTTTTAAATGTAACTACGTAAGATAATGATCTAATTACCATTTACATATTATTATCAACATAAAAATCATATTTTTTTTGAAAACAAAAGATCAAAATATATTAATTTCTCAAACCAGACATGTCTGCTAAAACAGATGATGAAAGAAAATAGGGAATAAAATCAAAATATTCAATCACCCCCTCCCCAGAATTACACAATGCATACTTGGCTAACAGATGAGCTGAGACATTTGCATTCCGCTTTGTAAAAACAAACCGAACCAAAGGCAGATGCTCCAAAAGCGCACGAACCTCAGCAATGATCATTCCAAACGGGGTGAAGTTCTGATCTGCTACCACAGCATTTGTCACCACCTGCGCATCAGTTTCAAGCACAACTTGGGACCATCCTTTGTTCTTGATCCAACTCAAAGCTTCACGAGCCCCTATGGCTTCGGCCTCTCGAACAGAATAAATCCCTTGAATCGTAGAGGTCGCAGCCCCCTTCACCACGCCCGCTGCATCCCTAAGAATCCACCCATATCCCATTCGGCAATGCTCAAAGTCCATGGCCACATCAATATTTATTTTCAAATAATGTGGAGGAGGGGGGGACCATGCAGTATGGTGCGCTTGAATAGCCATATTTTGTGTCCTTGTTGTATTTTGACTCTGAGCAGTTTGCCAATCTCGCACATAGCTCAACGCCATACGTACCATTGTTCTCGGGTCCTTGCATTGAGATTTCCAGACCATAGAGTTTCGGTTCTCCCATATAGCCCAAGCAATTGTAACTACCTTTTCTACCATAGCAGTAGGCAACTCATTCCATAGTTCCTGAACCCATAACCCCACCGAACCTGCCCATCCCATATTCCATCCTGTTGCAATCTCATTCCAGCAAGCATGGGTAAAGCTACAATTGGCAACTAGATGGATCGCCGTCTCGGGTTCATCGCCACATAATTGACACGTCGGATCACAAGCCACCTGTTTAACAATCAATGCGTCTTTAGTTGGCAACTTCATCGCACACATGGCCCAAAAAAAACATTTTATCTTCGGAGGAAGATTAAGATTCCAGACAGCAGCCCAAGGCAATTTTTGTTCTTGACTCAAATTACCAAAAGCCAGCTTATAGGCACTTTTAACTGAATATAGTCCATTTATTTCCCCTCCCCAATACAGCAAGTCATACTCTGATTCAGCAGGTAGAGGCAGGTTCAAAATCAGTTTGGCATCTCGTTGATCAAATATATCATTAATCAGTTCACTATCCCATTTCATTTCACCCACACAGAAGAGAGATTTAACCAAAGGATCATTTAAATAACTCTGTTCCGTAGTCATAACATAAGGATTGTGAACATCAGGGAGCCAAGGATCACCCCATACCTTCACCGTGCCACCATCCCCTATCCTCCACCGCACCCCTCCACGCAGTAACCCTTGAGTTTCCCTAACGCTAGACCACACAAAGGACGGATTTGAGCCCACCCCAGCTTCAAGGAAAGAACATTTTAGGAAATATCGAGCCTTAAACACCCGGGTTACTAACGCATTCGGATTATTTAAAAATTTCCATCCTTGCTTCCCCAACATGGCTAGGTTCATCTCTCTCACCCTTCTAAAACCCATTCCCCCATAGAGCTTGGGTTTACATAACTCCCCCCACGCACTCCACCGAATACCTTTTCCCCCCTTCCCTTCACATCCCCACCAAAAAGAGTTCATGAGCCGCTCAATATCCTCACAAAGCCCCTTAGGCAGTAAAAAAACATTCATAGCATAATTTGGTATGCTTTGTAGAACAGTTTTAAGGAGGGTCTCTCGCCCAGCCCGGGACAAAAAATGATTTCCCCAATGCATGATTCTAGCCCGAACCTTATCCTTAATGAACCCCAAAATTTCTTTCTTCCTTCTCCCTACAAACCCCGGCAACCCTAGATATCTCCCCCTACCCTGCTGTTCGTGGATTCCCAAGGTCTCACAAACAGCCTCCTTATCCTCCCTATGCACATTATTTCCAAATAGAATTGACGTTTTTGCATAATTTACATGTTGACCACTTGCACCCCCATACTCCTCTAAGACATCTCTCAAAATCCTAGCCTCAAAACTGTTTGCCCGAAAGAAAAACAAACAATCATCAGCGAAAAACAGATGAGAAATAGTCGGCGCATGTCGCGCTACAGAAATCCCATGGAACACCCCTTCCCCTTCCTGAACTCTCAGCATGGCACTCAGACTTTCAGCCACTATAATAAAAAGACATGGTGATAGAGGATCCCCTTGCCTTAGACCCCGCTCAGGAACTATTGGACCCCACTCCCGCCCCTCAATCAAAACGTTATATTGGACAGAAGACACACACTCTCTCATCCAACCCACCCAACGCTCACCAAATCCCATTTTCTTTAAGACCTGACACAAGAATCCCCATTCCACCCGATCATATGCCTTACTCATATCAACCTTCAACGCACAAAAACCACCCTTACTACCCCTCTTTCGATTTAAGGAATGAGTTGACTCAAACGCAATTAGGACATTATCAACAATAGAACGACCCGGAATAAAAGCACTTTGAGCATTGGAAATAATAGAGTCTAACACCCCCCTAAGACGATTAGCCAAGACTTTAGCAAGAATGCGGTAAAGCACATTACATAGGGATATAGGGCGAAACTCAGACATCAACTCAGGGTGTTTTGTTTTCGGGATCAAGACAATATGGGTTTCATTCACAGAAGCAGGTAACTGACCAGATGTAAGAAAGTTATGACAAAAAGAAACTACCTCGGTGCCCAAAATATCCCAGTGCAGCTGGAAAAAAGCTGGGGACAAGCCATCGGGGCCGGGAGATTTGTCCGGGTGCATAGAGAATACTGCTGCCCGCACCTCATCTGAATTTATCGGCTTCTCCAAGGTCGCATTCTGGTCGTGCGAAATTCTATGCTGCACACAGTCTATCACCAGCCTTATGTCCCCCTCATGACTCTTAAACAACTGAGAGAAATAGTCCACAACTACCCCCTATACCATCCTCATCCGTAACCAGCACCCCTCCAGAATCCTTCACCCCCGTAATCCTATTCTTTCTCCTTCTACCATTTATAGAGTTATGGAAGAAGCGGCTATTGCAATCCCCCCCCCCCCCCCACCCCCCCCCTTATACCACCATTCCTTTGCTCTCTGTCTAAGCCGGTCACAATAAGAATGTTGGAGCTGAAAATATTTCCGTTGATACTCCCCAAACTCCCTCATCCCCTCAGAGTCTACTGCCCCTCTCAAAGACCCCATCCTCACCCTACAATTCTCTATCTCCCTCACCTCCCTACGAGTTTGATTTTTCCCCCATTCCCAGACTCGTCTGCCACAACCAACTAGCCTATCTTCAATCGGAAAGCCATCTAATGACACCCAAGCTGACTCCACCACCTCTCTGCACTCAGGAATGCTACCCCATGAATTCCCAAACCTCGGTCTCCTCCTAAACCCTTGCCTCCCCAAGGTGTTTGTTTTTAATAGCAGAGGCATATGATCACTATTGCTTCCTTCCACCGACCAAGCTCTCGCCCCTGGGAACAAATCTTGCCAGTTACCAGACACTAAAATCCTATCCAGTTTCTCCCTCACCCAATTACTAGTTCCTCGCCCACGGTCCCAAGTGAATTGATAACCCTCAAAAGGAAAGTCATACAACCCACTCGCACGCACAGCTTCTCGAAATCCCCTAATCAACCATTGAGGGTGAGGCACTCGTCCCAGCTTCTCCCTTGCGTCCAAAATGTCGTTTAAATCCCCCATTAGGACCCAAGGAAGGTCGTTTAAGGAAGAGAGATACCTGAGAGTATTCCACGAAGTATATCGCTGATTCCACTTAGGGCAGCCGTAAAACCCTGTGAACCTCCACCGAGATCCCCTCTGCGTTATCACTGTGTCAATGTAGTGGTTGGAATAGCCTACCACCTCCACATCCAATCCCCCATTCCATAGCAGAGCTAGGCCACCGCTTCTTCTCGTCGCCTCCACTGTAAGACAATTGTCGTAATTTAATCTCACTCTCACAGACTCCATCTTCGACGCGCCACTTAAAGTTTCTGATAAAAAAATAACGTCGGGTTTGTATTGTGTAACAAAGCCCAACAGAACATGAACTGCCATAGGATTTCCAAGCCCACGGCAGTTCCAACTAAGATAACTCATTGGGCCGGGTGGGCCTGGACCTCAGGACCCACCTCATCAGAATTAATCTGACTTTCAATGACCATTGGGCTAGCCCATGTATCACTCCCTTCCTCTCTACCAACTCTACGCCTTTTCTGATCCACAATGACCACTCCCTCAACCTCACTGTAATTACCCACATCACTTGCACCTCCATTACTCTCATTTACGCCAGCCCCCAAACTCGGAGGCAACGGATCGTTCCCCACCACCTTCGGCATTAACTCCCCATTATTGGCGTCTGTTACTTTTGTCAAGCTCTCGTCCTTTCCTCTCCCCGCCGTGGCGGCATCTGCCACCGGATCCTCCAGGACCAGCCACCTGTTAGTCGGAACTGCTGCTACTCCTTTCCGGCCACCTGCTCGCAGCCATGAGCCAAACGGTTTCTCACCACTTCCCACTGGCTTGTCAGTATCTTCTGGGCAGAATTTATCGGCATGGCCAATAATTCCACAGGAGAAACAAAACGAAGGAAGCCGCTCATATTTGAGGTCAATCCAAAACCAGTCAGCACCAGGCTTTTTCATTTTCATTTTTGCTTTCAGAGGCTTTGTAACATTGATTTGTGTTCGCACGCGCATAAAAGTACGTTCTGCTCCAGCAAAATTCCGCTGGTCTGCCTTCTCAAACACACCAACATAGTTGCCAACGACTTTTGCCACCTTCTCCGACATAAATCCTCCGGGCAGGTTATGAACTTGTATCCAAAAAGAGGCCATGCTGAGATCAACCGATATCGGATCCTCTCCTTCCTGCAGACGGTGAAGAAGGACAAGGTTCTGATCAAACGTCCACGGGCCGTCCGTCAGAACTCTAGAGATATCCTTTTCACAGTAAAAAAGGAAAAGAAACCGATTCGAGCCCAAGTCCCGAACCATCACTCCCCTTACCGGACGCCAAGCTTTAGCCATGACATCCCGAAATATCACCAACTTGACTGACTTATCCGTAGCCACACGTCCCGTCACCGCGAACCGGTAATCAAACGTCGGTGGGGGTACCTCATCAACTTCCACAATCACACCGTCATCCTCATCAACAATGGACAAGGCTCCACAAGCATCTGTCACAGCACTCGTACTGCCTTTCTCCATGATACCAGACAGAAACACTCAAACGACACAGAAACTCACAAGGAGAGGGGAAGGGAAAAACTCTACACGTCTAAAAACGGAGAGAGAAAAAAACTCACTCAGGTCATAATTCTTCTTTTCGCCAGATTGTTCTATGTTTTAACTGGCTAGCAGCCTAACATAAAAATCATATTAGCTAGTCCTTTAGGTGTTCTGCTTGAGGTACTTTTAATTTGGTTCAACCATTATTGTTGAATGAGTTCTTGTGGATAGAGAAATTCATAGTTGATTTAATGAATAAAATAAGATAAGGTAGTAAAAATTAATACATTTTAAATCATCTTAATAAAGAAATATGATTTACTTTAAAGTGAACAACTGCGATGTAATTCAGAGATAGAGGTAGTTTCCTGCTTCAATTTCTTGGATTATTTGAATACCCTCTTCATCAACAAATCCTCCCCAAGTAGTTAATATGATTGACTTCAAACTATTTTTTTTCCATTGTATTAATTTTTTTTTTTTTTTGGGTATATCCAGGGTTCCACCGTCGGACATAGTGACTAATCCCCTCGCTGAACTGTAGGCACCTCTTTTGGGTGGGACAGCTGGCCTGGAGATTTAAGGATACTCCATTCCCAACGCCAAGGATCGAACCCTTGAACTTTGGTTAAGAATAGATGAGTCCCTTTGGTTAATAAAATACTTGATAAATAAATATATAACATATTTTGTATTATAACTTTGATATTTAATTATAAGATAATGTAAAAAGAAGACAATTGACAATGTAGTAAATATAATTAATTTATGAATTTAAAGGTAAGGAATTTTTGAATTGTAGAAAATAAGGATAATATAACTAATGAAATTATATCTCTTTTTTAAGATAATGAATAATTTTTTTGAATAAAGGCATCATAGACATCTAATTCCAAATTAAAGAAATTCATATGCATTATTTTTTGTTGTAGCTACTAATTTATTTAATTAAATAAGAGTAATAAAGTGGGTTACTTACTTTTGATCCACAATAATAAAGTCATTGATTTATTTATTTTCATTCGCTGTTGAGACAAATTTTTTTGTAAGTTTGTCAATGACAATTGCTACAATTGCTGTCAATAGAGGATGATAATAAATAATTCAAACATATAGTTACAATAGATATTGTTATAATGCTATAATAAAAATTAACATACAAATTTCTTTAGAGGTTTTCATGCATTTGATAAAATTCTAAGAATGATGTGTAGGTGCAGTGACATCAGGTGGTTATAATCGAAAAGAAAATGGTAATTACAGAGAAGTCCTTAGACTATTTATTTTTCCTTTTTTCAGCATGCTTCATCACCTCTTTTGCAGCATGCTTCATCAGGGTGTTTCGCTCTAAAACTGCTATTGCACCAGTTAATTTTTTGAAAAATTATGCCACAGGTCATAGATATGCATTCTTGAAAATATTTACTTTTAAGAAAAATTTGATAATATTGCATATATACGTCGGGATATCGAATGATACTTTGATAAATTCTAAAACACAAGTTTAAAAGTACACATTGGGAATTGAACTATTCTCCCAATCCACTTGTGGTACCTAGTTTTTTTTTTAATACATTTTAACATATTCATAGTATATGTTTAACAATTATGTTAACTCTGATTGGGATGGGGTACGAACTTAAGACATTTCTTATAGAAATTAATGATTAAGTTAAGAATAATAAATAGTTAACGAAATATTTTGTGACTAAAGTTTACTGACGGAATACAAGGGTATTTAGAAAAATTAAATGATATAATAGACTGTAAAATAGAAAAAATAATAATAGTAAATACTAAAATCAAAATAATATGAAGTATTCATTTCTACAAACAATTAAAAACCAACATTTTTTACTTTCCGTTAGGAGTCTAACTTTATTGGCTCTTATTAGATTTGTAAATACTTGTATTTGTATGTACAGATATAGATTTGTAGATATTTCTAAATGCTTATTACTTTTCAATTTTTTTTTGAACGCTATTAATTTTCTAATTAAGGGGGGTGTATTCAATCATGACTTTTGTAGAGTTTTAAAGACTTTTAAAATGATAGATTTTAATAAACTTTGATTGACTTTCATAGAATCGTTCAAAACTTTTTAAAACTTTATAAGACTCTATAAAAGTCTATATAAAAAACATTCATAGACTTTTATCAACTTCTTATTTTAAAAAGTCTACAAAAGTCATTGAAATTCTAAATTGAATACATCTTTACAAACTTTCAATGATTTTGATTCTTATCATTTATAATTTTCTTACAAAACATTTATAATATATCATAAAATTCTTCTTATTATATAGTTCTTCACCTACGTCAACATTCTCAACGTTATTATTTTTATCCATAGTATGCTAAGACTTATATATATTATTAATAAACATCAAAAAAAAAAAAAAAAACTATTTCATTAGAAATTCATAACAATATTGAACAATAAAATTTATAATAAAAGAGTTGATCAAATAAAATATTTAAAAATATAATTACAAGTTTCATAAAATAAAAAAAAAATAAAAATCTAATATTAATAATATATATAAAAAATTGTACTTGATATATTGCTAGACATCACGCAAAGAACTATTATTTGCAATAGCAATTTAAGACTGCGAACAACAACAAGGTGCTACTGTTTGCAATCAAAATATATAAGAATTTATATGAATATTATGAAACATATTACATATACTAAAATTTGACGATGAAAAATTTGCTTTGTTCATTTATTTAGGGAGAATTAGAGAAAGTTAGGGATAAAAATTCATTGAAAAAAAAAATAAAAATCAATATAAACACGCAATAATGAAGTAAAAATAATATTATTTCGAATTTTTAGAGGAAGATTGTAAAGTTTAGGAGAGCGAAAAATTGGTAGAGTTTAGGTATGAGGAAAATATAGGATAATGAAGAAAAAATAATTTTATTAAATTTAGGTAGGTTTATAAAGTTTAAATAGGGTGAAAAAATAGAGTGTAAATAGAGAGAAAACATTCAAAGTTGTTAGAAAGAAAATTTTGAAATCTTGGGGTTGATGGTTGGATTTCAACTATTTATATTTTAGAAGGAAAAGTCTACAGAAGTCTTAAAATTTAAAAGTCTACAAAACTTCATAACTTTTTGAATACCACATGACTTTTAAAGACTCTCTAAAAGTCTTAATCGAATACCACATGACTTTTAAAGACTCTTTAAAAATCGTGATTGAATACCGCATGACTTTTAAAGACTCTCTAAAAGTTTGAATTGAATACCTCTAAACTTTTAAAGTTCATAAAAGTCTTTAAAACTCTATGAAAGTCATGATCGAATACACCCCCCTAAGAGTATGATTTAGACATTTCAAAATGAAAATTTTTAATGAATAGCCACTATAGCAGTCAACGTGTATAATTATAACAAGCCCGCATGGGTAGCTCAACTGGTCATAGAGGTGAAACTTTGGAAGAATGACCAGGGATCGAGTCTCACCAGCGGCAGTGTGGGAGCAACCTCTCAAAGTGAAGGGGGTTCCTTGTGTGCAGTGAGCACCGGTTTAGCCTCTGCTCTGTCGGGCCGGGGTGTGGGGGGCCCTTACGGTGGGGCTCTGCTCGGTTCTCGTGCAGGTGAGCGCTTCACGTGCGGTTTAATCGGAGCCATTCATCAATGCGGTGTAATTTTGTAATTTTTGCATCTAGGTCAAAATTAAGGTGAGTGGTTTTGTGATTAACGTGCGTGGGTTTGTGTTTAAT